CCCCCCCCCCCCCTCCACTACCATTTCTAACCCTTTTTACGGACGTACGCAGTAATTTATTCTATCTGCAACTAATTGATTGTTGTTATTATTACTATTATTTTTATTTATTATTTTATTTATCTATGCCAGGCTTCATCCAAGCTCGGAACATGATCGGAATTTTCTAGGTATTCAAGCTTCGATTTGTCGATTATTACCAAGTTTGTTTAAACATAGCATTTCCAAGACTTCGAATTACCTAGATATCATATATTGGATCAAGCTTGGTTGAAGCCGCGTGGTTCAAGCTCGGAATACCAAACTTGGACCATGCTGGAAGCTACCTTGATATATAAGCTGGTATTTGCATTATATCACCAAGCTTGGTTGGATCATGGTAATTACATAGAATCAAGGTTGGCTCAAGCTAGGAATTCCAAAGCTTGGTATCCTGGGCCCATCGTTCAAGTTTGGATTTCCTCACCTGGGTGGAAGTGAAATTATCATCCATCACAAACACTACTCCTTAATTGTTCATCATGGTTCTCCTACGCGTCATGAGAAGTACCAAGAGGGCCCAACGTACTCAAAGGACGTCTGAAATTTGATAATTGTCCATTTTAACTTGAAAGATCGATAGATTTGTTAATAATAGATTCGTTTTGGGTAGAATTTGTATTTTAATTCCAATGTAGTGCATGGATCCCACTCTACACTCCATGTGTTATTGTGGTCTAATACGTTTACTGGTAAATTTTGTTCCATAGGTGTTGAATAAACCACCGTTGATTATCGATCGCACCGAAGCCTACATAGGTGTTCTCATTGATGATCTGACATCTCGGGGGGCCATTGAACCGTACCGGATGTTCACAAGCCGAGCAGAATTTCGATTGAGTCTCAGAGCTGATAATGCCGACCTTAGACTTACCGGTAAAGGTTTTAAAATCGGTTGCGTATCGCAGAAAAGAATGAATCGGACAGAACATTTACGAAGGCGCCTAGAAACTGCTTTAAATGAACTCAAGGCTGCAACGAATACTACTGAAAAATGGCACCAACTTTTAGGCGTCAAAAGTACGAAAGTACTAAAAAATATTAGTGCCTTTTCCCTCCTTACTAGAACTGATGAAGATGTTTGCTTCGATGATTTGGCGCGAGTTCTTCCGGAAATTTTAGGACATCTCGGGAATGATCCACGATTATCACGGAGAGTCAAGGTATCATTCAATTTTCTAATCTGAATTACGATGATGATGTCCTCGATAGAAATTTTATTGTCACAATGACTCGATAAGTTCCATAATAGTTGGTTTTCTCTTCTCAATAGATTGAAGCTACATATGAGCATGCTATTGCAGAGCAATCGGGAGAAGTTCAGGAAATGAGGAAACATGAGCGAATGATCATACCCAATAATTTTAATTATGAAAAGTAAGACGACGCGGAGTACGAAATAATTATCACTAACTTAGAATAATTGTGAAATAACAATAATATTATTAATAATCATATTAAGAATCTCATCATCTAGGGCTGTATTTGAGCATGTTAGTGTGGTGTGATAAACACTCAGGGATATCGGAGCCGTGTTATGGGATTGCAAAGGCCTGGGATTTCGGATTTTAGGTGTCGGAGTTGCAAACAGTCCCCCGAAACTCTGAGGCATCTTTTGTCGGCTTGTCCGACATATGCCATGATGAGTTATATCCACTGTCATAACACAGCTTTGAGTATTGTATTACCGTTTGCCGGACTCTTATGCGATAGAGCAGACGCCGATTCTGCATTATGCTCCAGGAGATATTGAGTCTGTTGTCGTGAATGAGAGATGTAAGTTTTACTGGAATTTGTCGTTTGCAACTGTTAGGTCCGTGGTTGCGACGAAACTTGATATCGTCCTCTTCGACTTTGAAGAAAAAGTCAACTACGTGATTGAGTTCCCCACGCCAGCCGAGAGCAATATATCTACGGAGGAAGAGAAGAAACGGCTTAAATAGCAGCTTCTCCTGATTGAACTACATTAGTTGAACTGTGGGTTTAAGAATAGGGTGATCATCCTGACCATTGGCTCTCTGGGGGAATGAACCAGTCTTTTGTATCTACTCCGCAGGTAATTCCAACCTGCAGGCGCAACGCCTGAATATTGGCGGCCCAGATGCAAAAGGCTGTCATCCCTGGGTTCCTTCGACTCGGGCTGCAGTTGTGCTCACCCTTTGATCAGAGGGAGCATTACTACAGAGTGATTAGGAGTTGTTTGTATCGCTTAGCTTGTTGGGTAGTCTTCAAGATTCAGTCAGAGCGCTCGAGGATCGCATGCAGCGATCTCATTCACGACTAAAAAAATATTTTATCATTATTGGATTGCCGTTGTTATGTTACATTCTATTAATTTTTGGCCATCTTATTGCAGCATAAACATATCTATAGAGGATAGGGAGAAATTAACAGCTCTCCAGCCTAGAACTGTAAGTATAATTTGTCAGCTATAATTGCATAAATTGTCAACATCACTGAACTAGGCTTTGTTTTTTAAGGTAGCGAGTGCTAGGAGAATTTCAGGCGTAACTCCCGCAACAGTGTTGAGAATTATTCAACGATTGAAGAAATCAGGAGAAAATATAATAGAAAATTATTAACTGCAAACTTTCTACATTTTTTTTGCTAAATACCTTTTCGAGTTGTCACATTTCTTTGTCATTCCGTCCTCTGTTGGGGTAACCATGGGTCGGAGTATCTTCTGAGGAATTGAAATCCAACGTATCTCTGGATGAAACCGCATCCGCTTAAACTAGGAACGAAGAGAAATCTTTGAAAAACCTCGGTTACGTAACCGGCTAATAATGTACGGATTGTAATGACTCCACTGACTCGATGAGCACAATAGTGTTGGAAGTTCTGTCAATATACTTGTGAAATTGTCCAAGCGTGGTCAATAACTTTGACAAGCGGTACTGATTTGTATTTCCATGAATCTTAGATGCATGTCATATCGAGCCGAAAACCGGGGAAAATTCTTGGTGTATTTAACAAAATGTTTATTGTTCGATACCTGAAGATCTTTATAAAGGAAAAATGAGGTTGAGTGAGGTAACTTTTTTCAAAATAGGTTTCAGAAAGCTATTGAAAAAAACGTAGTTACTTCATCTATTTACATTTCTGAATTAACTAAATTACGTGTTAGAATATTTGTTCACAGATCCTCCATTGTTAGACAACAACTTATGGCATACTAGGGAAAGCAGTCTCAGAAAATGAGTCAGTTTATAGTCGACTCTTTTGCACTTTCGAGAATGGTTTACTGCTAAACATGTGTTGAAATTTAAAGGATTGGGTCCTTTTATGTGGTAAACTGCTTTAACTAATAAAATTTTCCTTTTATGGTCATAATATCGTTGCAGTCCCTGGACAACGATCCTCTATAGCAGGGATGGGCAACCTCTGCTCTGAGAGCAAGTCGTGCTCCCAACCTCTATTAGTGTATAACAAGGGGTAGAGGAGAACCGATTGTGTAAGGTGATGGGCATTTATGACCCAGGTCGTAAAGGCCCTTCTCCTCGGCTGAAATCAACCGAAGTGGGAGTAACGCTTAAGAAAAGGAAAAGAGGAGAAATGTCGTTGAAGAAAAGGAAAAGCGGGGAAATGAGACAAAAATGGAAAATATGAAATTTTCTTCACTATGACGTCGTTATTTATTTTGAAAGTAGACGTTACAAATGAAATATAGAAGACGGATGTTCAATTCCAGAGGAAAAGAACAAATTCAACAATGTCATGTTCCAAGGTCCCGCGATTATTTATTCAAGAAATGAAATTGATTGAAATAAAAATATTCATTGAAGGAAATTCTTAAAAAATATTATGTTCAAGAAATATTCATGTTTTATAATCAGAATCAACATCAGCCGGTAGAAACTGCAATGTTTGGTATTTTCTCTTTCAGATATTTTTCGTTATTAAGTTCGTTATTGGACCAAAAATTTGAAAAGCAAGTTAAAAGATGTCAATAATTCGGAAAGCTGAATTTTAAGAGCACTTTCATTTTTTTTTTAATGAGTATTAGTTATTCATATTTAGGTCAATAACGCCGTAGAACTTGAAGCGATTGAATGCAGGGTCTGTAGTTTCAAAAAAGCATTACAAATAAAACGTTTTCTCTTATAACACTGGCGAATTTTAAAATTATGAAATGCCTCATATTTCATCTTGTAAAATTTTTCAGGCTGATGGGTTTGTCATAGTGCAATTTAATCGTTTAAAAATTGATTAATACACTCTGGCAAAAGTTGAAAAATCAAAATGATAAATTGTAATTAATCTTCACCGTATTAATTATTGATACCTTTTAAATTTCGTTCTATACTTTCTCCTTGGAACAATACTGAGAATCAGATTTTCAATTAATCAGCAACAAGTTCTATATATTATAAGTTATATATATATTTTTTAACTAAATAGGATATGTGCAGGGCAAAGCGCAGAAAATTTTCCAAATTCTAAAACAATATTTTGTGGGAATATTTCTGTTCGAGACTGTCTGCCGAAACCGTAGTCATCAATTGTATTGCACTTGGCCGATTGGCCGGATTTGATCGTAAAATTGCGGGAGGGAGGGGGTTGAGTTGAATTTTCCGAATGTATTCAATTTCCCAACTTCAATCTGTTCTTTTGAAGCATTAAATGCAGACGTGTGTTTAGTTACCAAGTCGCAGTTCAGATTATCTGCTTGAAAAAGTTAGTGATTGTGCATAGTGATTTTATCATAGTGTCAATTGTTTACATATTTGTGCCATGGAACCTCCCATGAAAAGGTTTAAAAACAATGAGCCTGACATTGACTGGGAACTTCGTTTTGCAGGTACGAGAATTGGTGAGAAAACATTATGTTTATTGTGTGAATGCGAATTTACCTGTATGCGGAGATTCAATGTTGAGAGACGTTACAAAAGCAAGCATGCAGCTTTTGACATGACTTTTCCCCTAGAGTCATTAGCGCGAGCTAATCAATTTCGCGTTATGAAAGCCAAACATTTGTCATCAACAGATGTTTTGGAGAATCAAGTTTCTTCGCTCAACGGAAACACTCCTCTTCAACTTGTTCACAAAATCAGAAATGATACGTGCAAGAGATCTCCGGCATTTAATAAAAATGGGAACATTGCTATGCATGCAGCAAAATCGGTGAAAAGGTTCTATGTTTATTGTGTCATTTGCAATTTAAAAGCATGAGGTCCTTTAACATTGAGAGGCATTATAGGCAAAATCATAGTAGCTTCGATTTGAGTTTTCCACTTCATTCGGACAACCGCGTTAACGAAATCCGGGTTTTAAAAGAGAGAATTTTAGCGTCCGAACATTCAAATGATGTTTTGTGTAATGATGACCTTAACCGCGAATTTAATGTCATTTCAAGCCGCCTATCAAATCGCGAAAGACAAATCGTCATTTACTGCCGGTGAAAAATATAAAGAGCTTTTTGTAACCCATATGGATACGTTATTTCGAGGAACTTTGTTGAACAAGAGAATGAAAAGATTTGTTGAAAATTTATCAAGACGGACAATAATGCGAAGAATTGAAGCAATCGGTGCTGACCTCCGGGCTCAATTAACAGATGACTTTTCTTGTTGTTGTTTTTTTTTCATTTCAATTAGATGAATCTACGGGTAGAGCCGATTGTGCTCAAGTCGTCATCTTCATTCGTTTAGTTTTTCCCGATCTGTCTATTCGCGAAGAGTTATTTGCATTATTTTCCTTAAAAACGAGTACGAAGGGTGAAGATATTTTTGATGCTCTGAAGCAAAGTTTCATTTCCGCGAAAGTGCCACTTCACAAATTAGTAGCTATCACCTCGGATGGTGATGCGAACATGACTGGTTGCACGAAAGGTTTAATTGCGAGGTGTAATAATGACGCTGAGTTCCCTAAATTCCATCATTATCACTGCATGTTGCACCAGCTAGCTTTATCCGTTAAAAAAATTTCGCGCGATGTCATAACTTTAGCAGTTAAAATAATTAATTCGATAATTTCAAAACCCTTGCAGCATAAACTGTATAATGTTTTCAAAGAAGAGAATAATTTAGAATCTCGCGATTTATTGTTTCATAGAGAAGTTCGGTGGCTTAGCAAGGGGGTTATGCTGTGTCGGTTCTGGGAAAATTTAAATGATATTGTTTCTTTTTTAAAATCACGCGGAGATGTACACGATGAATTGAATGATGTGGAGTGGCGCTCGAAATTGGCAGTCACCGCGGACTTAACAGAGAATGTCAATATTTATAATAAAGAGATGCAAGGTTCTCGGAGATTTTTTTGGCAAC